ACAACAACAACGACTGTTCCGACGACAACAACGAACCCACCGACGACAACAACGACTGTTCCGACAACAACAACGATCGCTCCGACAACAACAACAACGACTGTTCCGACAACAACAACGACTGTTCCAACGACAACAACTGTTCCGACAACAACAACGACCTCTCCGACGACAACAACGACCGCTCCAACTACAACAACGACCCCACCGACGACAACAACTGTTCCGACAACAACAACGATCGCTCCGACAACAACAACGACTGTTCCGACGACAACAACGACTGCTCCGACGACAACAACGACCCCTCCGACGACAACAACTGTTCCGACAACAATAACGACCCCTCCGACGACAACAACTGTTCCGACAACAATAACGACCCCTCCGACGACAACAACTGTTCCGACGACAACAACGACTGTTCCGACGACAACAACGACCGCTCCAACGACAACAACGACCGTTCCAACTACAACAACGACCCCTCAGACGACAACAACTGTTCCGACGACAACAACGATCGCTCTGACGACAACAACTGTTCCGACAACAATAACGACTGTTCCGACGACAACAACGACCGCTCCAACTACAAGAACGAACCCACCGACGACAACAACGACTGTTCTGACGACAACAACGACCGCGCCAACTACAAGAACGAACCCTCCGACGACAACAACGACTGCTCCGACGACAACAACGACCCCTCCGACAACAACAACTGTTCCGACAACAACAACGACTGTTCCAACGACAACAACAACGACTGTTCCAACGACAACAACAATAACCACTGTTCTGACGACAACAACGACTGTTCTGACGACAACAATGACTGTTCCGACGACAACAACGACGGTTCCGACGACAAGAACGACTGTTCCGACGAAAAGAACGACTGTTCTGACGACAAGAACGACTGTTCCGACGACCAGAACGACTGTTCCGACGAGAAGAACGACTGTTCTGACGACAACAACGACCGCTCCAACTACAACAACGATTCCTCCTCCGACAACAAGAACGACCGCTCCAACTACAACAACGATTTTTCCTCCAACAACAAGAACGACCGCTCCTACGACAAAAACAACTACTACACCAACGACAATTCCAACTACGATTATTACTACTACGACCACAACAGAGGCGACACAGACAACAGCACCAACTACTCCCAAAGTGACTACCATTATACCTGAATGTGAACAATGTGATATATTAATAACCATAATCAATTCATGCCCAAATATTTCTAATAATATTGAAATTATTGTATGTGTCATAGAAGAAATTCATCAATGTGATGACTTTTTAGACAGAAGCATAAAGGAATTTTTTGAATGCATCGACAATTCTTATCTAAAAAAAACCAAAAATAATATAAAGTGTGACGATGTGAACACATTCTTAGAAAAATTATTGGAAAATTACAAGGATTTATTGGATACTTGGAAGTCTTTAGGGCTTTACAAATACCGATATTCAAATTATCTACACCTTAAATGTGAATAAATAATTGTTCATTTTTCTTATACATAATTGCAATTACTAAAAATTTTTGGGGACGGCATTAACAGATTAGAATTTGTTGTTGAATTCATTTTTTATTTGTTATTATAATTGGAATTTGTTTGCTTCTAAGATAAGCAATATATAATAGAGAAAGTTATGTGTAAATTAATAATAAATGGATATTTATATACACTTCTTATTCTGTTTGTAAAATGTATTAAATAATGTAATTTTCATTATTAAAATGANAATTAAAGTATTTGTTTCGATTATCCGGATTTTTCCTTATCCGGACTACCTTCATCCCCAATTAGTCCGGATAATCGAGGTTCTACTGTATTTTATTGCAGTGTATTATTTAATAATAACATAATTTATGAATTTATAGAGGTTTCCTTAATTGTTGGGATGCAATTTACAAGGTATTATCGAATTTATAATCGTCTTGAGTATGCTCGGATACGAATTTAATTAAACTTATATTTTGTTTTTTTTTTCTTATCCAAGCATAAAATGAATAATAAGGTAATTAACACCAATATTTAGAAAGGCCAGAATTGCATATTGACCTGAACATTAATCATAGTACTGTGGATAACAACTATAATTTTAGATATTGTGTGTACACGTGTACAATTTCCACTCAACCACTGATGGATACCCTTCTTTGGGGTTATAAAATATTTAAACTTATCCTCAAACTCACAACAGACATTGTTTTGGAAGACATTCTTCTTCATCATACATTTCATTAGAAATTATACTTCTAAAAAAATGTTCTTCATCTTTAACCTGATAGATTTTGCCATCCAAATAACATGCATAAATTATCTCATTTACAATTAATTTATTATAACGAGAATTAATTTTTATACCACCTTTTAAACGTGATTATTTAGCATTATTTTATTTTATTTTCCGAATTCATCAGCTGACATAAAACAAGTCTTTTTTGTAAGTGTGAAAACTTACCAACTCCATAAGACTTCTTAATATTTACTTCAGAGACGTTTATACTATCTTCAAACAAATTTTGCACAAAAACAACAGAATCCTCTTTACTTCCATTATCTGGAAGGCCAGATATCATCAGGTAATTTCTTCTTTCTTTACCTTCCAATTTTAGTAGTCACTCAAATAAGTTTAGATTACACTTTTCGTGTCTTTGAATAATTTACTATTATCTAAGCTAGTGTAACCATTTTTCTTATCCTATTTAAGTGCCAAGACTTTAAATTTAAAACTGTCGTNATAATCGTCAACAATCTCAGATATGCGGACGATACAGTCATTCTCGCTACATCAGAAAAAAAATACAGATATTGTTAAACGAACTAGTATCAAAAAGTGAAGAAATGTGATTCACAATAAATACAAAGAAGACTAAGCCTTTGAGATGTGGGCAATCAGAAGAATGTTGAAGATCAAGTGGACAAGGAGGACCACAAATGAAACAGTTAGGAAGTAGAAAATAAGAAAAATATAAAAAGAAGATCCAAGGAAGTGAGGAGCAGAAATTTAAAACACGAAAAACCCCAACTCCTAATAATACTCGTACTGATAGAAAAGATGGGAAATTGATCATTCAAAAAGTCCGTCTTCGGAAAAAAAAAATTGCAGACAAAAGCCATTTTCCTTAAAAGGAAAGGGAAGAAAAACAATCCCAGTAAGAAAGTCTTTTCCTGCATACATAAGCAAAAGACTGAAGGGTTAAAGTTAGCGGAATGCAACCTCTTCAGGCTAATTTATTTAGTCTTTCTCAACATCTTCAGGTTATGCTAACTTGTAGTGTGCAATCCCTTATAGGCTAGGTTGATTACTCATCTTTAATACCTTTTAGTATCTTGACTAGCCATATTTAAAGATATCCAGAGAACTTAGAAAAAAGGTGTTAAAAATAACTTATCAACTAAGGTTGAAAAGGATATTATACTGTAAGTTGACATAGCCTAAAGTTGTTAAGGATGGCTTCTCAACTTGTCTCGAACGGGGTGAAAATATCTTGAATAACCAGCCTGAAAAAGTACAAGAAGATCACTGATTAATTTATCCTGATAGTGTCTAAGAAGGTTTATCTGAAAGTATTAAATATGGCTTGTCGATAGGCTGAAAAAAGCTTGCACACTGCTAATTAATTGACACAAAAATCGTTGAAAACATTTAATCAACATAGCCTGAAAAAAATTGAATAGTGCTAATTAACTGAGTCCGAAACTGTTACAGGCGGCCTAACCATTTATCCAGAACATGTCGAAGGATACTAAATCAGCTTAACCTAAAAGGGATTGCATACTACAAATCAGCATAAGCTGAAATTGTTGAAGATTGTTAGTAGAGCCTGAATAGACTGAAAATGACTAATCAACTTAGCCTGAAATGGATAGCATACTGCTAGTTAAGTGAGCCTGAAAGTGTTACAAACCGGTAGTCGAATTATTCAAAAAGTGCTAAACATGGTGTGAGATTTCACCCTTTTTTCGATTGTTAAAGTAATAATTAAATAATTAAGTAATAAAATATTCTAATATTCTACCCGAGAAAGGGTTGACTGAGACGTGAGTGAGGTGAGGTGATGACGANATCATAGTACTGTGGATAACAACTATAATTTTAGATATTGTGTGTACACGTGTACAATTTCCACTCAACCACTGATGGATACCCTTCTTTGGGGTATCTATCAGTGGTTGAGTGGTCGATTGTGGGTTCGACTCTCACCAAAGGGCTGGTCACGTGGAATTTTTCGGGTCTCTTCACGTTTATAACATTTAAATAGGGATCAGTTCGCATGGAAATTGCTTTCGAGAGCAGTACTTCTCACGACAGTTCGCCCACGCTTCTCGTTGCTGCAAACAAATAGACATGATATTACATATTTTGAAGGTTTGGTTTGTCATTTTGGCTTCTATATAACAGCGTAATTATTCCTAATTACGCTATTATATAAAATGACAGATATTATATTACTTATAATCTTTTGGTTTGTATGTATGCTCTCGACGTTACTATGCTATATACATGCTTCGTTTATACTATTTGTAAATCTCTGGTGATCTGAAGGGGCCAATTGTTAGGTTATCAGTTATATTATGAATTTTTATCACATGACACTAATGTATCTTCAAGGATAACTAATGCCTAAAAGGATATGTAAAAATAAAGACTGTATTCGGTATTGAAGTTTCGTAATTCCTCTCACCTAACTGGGTCATGCATTGCCGAACTTTTTCGAGCCAAAAAGTTATACTTAACACTTGTTGGGTATAACTTTTTGAAACGAATGGTCAAGATGTTAATCAACTTAGCCTGTAGACTATGAAGATGATTAATCAAGTTAGCCTGAAAGGGATTGCATACTGGTAGTTAATTTTACATAAAAGTATTAAAATTGCCTGTAATAGCTGAAGATTAACTAAAGAACTTAGTTTAAAAGAAATTAATACTGACAATTATTAAATATGCCTCAAAGTTTTAAAAATGGATGGTGAAATTACACAGATGTTGAATACAGTTTGTTGACTTAAGCTGAGAGGGAATTCGTACTACTAGTTTGAGCCTGAGGGCAAAAAAGAAAGATCCAGCTCCACAAGTTTCTTTTTGGAAAATAAAACTTTTTACATTCTAAGAATTAAACTAACTACTTAAGCATTTTTTAAAAATATACATTTTTATATTTATGATCGACCTTTTATAACACACGCATTTTTAAAAGCAAGTAAATAATAATTGATAAAATTGTTTTAAAATTCGACACTAACAAATAAGCTGAAAATAGATACATATAATGTACTGATCAAAACAATTAGTGGAGCACGTGACTGCTCTAATCGTGGAGTGACAAAGAACATCACCAATTCGATCCCATATTACACAGATGTGCAGCAATTTTGGATCATACAGCCGGCTAAAGTCAGCACAATACCCTGTATTTACTGGCAATTTAATTAACCTAGCTGCAAAATATGTCTTAAGATAAGATTAGAAGAACTTATTTTAACTAGATTAACATCTTTTTGATAGCGCATAGTTCGGATATGACTCGATTACTGAATTCCCTACCATTATCTGAACGCAATATAGTTGAGGCACCAAATGTTAAAAATATTTGAAGAAGATGATATGCCACTTTTTCAGCTTTCTTGGTTTTTAAAGACCTGAATAAACCTCGTTAATTAATTGGTCTTCATATACCATTATGAACTTGTAATTGCCATCCCTGTGTGACTGCAGGTCTATCAAATCAGTTTGACCTTTTGAGTTTAACTCCGAACTAGCCTTTAGTTTTACAACAATATTTTTTTTAGGTCCACTACGTTTCATTTGACATTGTTTACATAAATTTAAATACAACATTACAACTTCATATGTAACATTTTTGTATTTAACTTGCAATACTTTAAGCATACGTGTTTTTTCCCCATAGCCGATTCTGATATGAGTTTCGGATAGTATACTGAACAATTCATTATTGGTAACATAAGACAGTAGGGCGTCGTTTATCCGAATCAATTGTTCGGATAAACGACGTTTCGGATAACCGACCTTCGGATAAACGACGCTCTACTGTACTGTTTCTCCTAGTTTTAATGGCAAAATTAACTTCTCGTCGTCATTAATTTTTAAAATATCAAACGGTTTAATTAACTGTTTGTAATCCAAAAGTGTACTGCACTTAGTTTCAGCTGAA